ATAAAACAAATGCTGGTCTGGGGGCTCTTTCTCCCAGGTGCAACAAGCGCAGCCAGTACTGTAATTCAGCAGGATGGGATGTCGGGAACAGTCGATCGAATAAGCACAGAGAAAAATCGGATGTCTCAGTGAACAGCAGGATCCGAAAACGAATCCAACACCGAAGCAAAATGCGGCACTCAAAAAAAGAAGACGTACATCACGAAGTCGCCGATAATGGTTGCCATGAGGGGGAACTGCCTCCATATTCACACCTATTTTTTTTTGGTTGCCTGGGCAAGTAGTCGCAACTAACATCAGAAATAATTCAGCATTTCTGTTGCCATAATGCAAACACAATATAGTCTGGATATCAACGTTTGGGGCGTATTGAAGAAGCAAATCTCTGTTTGACCAAACAATGTATAGTTTTGTTTCTTATTTATTGGTATTATACCTAGACTTTAGATAGATACATTGTCCGCCATTGGACATTTTGAGTCGTCGCGAAGATACTGGGCTCTATTCTGATACGACCGCTTGCGAACATCAGGAACTCATTGAATTATGCGTTGGGATGATAATGCAGCATCCACAGTGTTTCTCCACCAGCCAGGTTGATATCTGAAGGCCAGCCGCTCATGTCGATTGGACACATGTGTCATGTGTGGAACAAACGAATGCATGCTCTGATTGACCAGAATGTTAGCCAATCTGGTTTGATTATCAATACTTGAACGCTTCTCACCCCCCTCATGGAGATTCTAGTGCAACCTTGTGGAGCATCCTGTGGTGACCCTAAAAATACGGTTGTAGTAATCTTTATCAGTCTCTATAAAGGGCTCTTTCAGTGTACCATGAATGGAGCAAGAACCAAGCACCAACGTAGAAGTTGTACCACCATTTGCAGTACACAACAGTTGGGCGGTGGATGGATGCAGGTCAAACGCAGGCTTCTAGCGTTCCAATCGCGGGCATGGAACACGTAGGACAAACTGTTTCTCAAAAAAGTTAACCCTCTCCGGTAGGCGCCCGTCAAAGACCACTGTCGCAGGGCAAATCTTCTTAGGCCAAACGCCTTAGCTGAAGAGCTTAGTCATCCTGTCCACATTTGGCCAGCATGGCATTATCTCACTTCACATACGACCGTGAAATGCCAAAGGAAAGGTAAGTTTACGACGCATCAACCTTCGCATGGTGGTACCAGCTGGGTCACATTATTCGCTGCACACAGTCAGATGGGCGAATGATAACATGCAACTGCTGACGCCTTTATTTTTCTGCACTGATACCACCCAACTTTTATCCTTTTCCACTTACTAATCGTTGTTCCATACAACCCAGTCTTAGTCAACTTAATAAGTATCCTAGGAATGTGGCAGGCTATAGGACACTGTTCATACCTGCCTTTTCGAGTCAGCTTTTCAAAATTTGCCATCCCACCTTTATCGTGACCTTTAACACTATGTCTTTCAAAGAGAATCTTGCGTTTACTTTACATACATTACCGAAAGACACGATGGAGCTCTGACACTCAAATTCAAGATCCCAGTAGAGCAATTAATGTTATGGCATCTCCACTTTCAGGACAACACAGAAACTGAAATTCAGGTGATCCTGGAGATAACGGATTCGTTGTTGTGATGCTAAACCTCGGAGAAACAACAAGCTTGTCCAACCCACTCTGATCAAAGTTACTAGGATCAATTAGGCAATTTATTTGTGGCTATGTTATCGTCCAGTCGCTATGCCACACTGATATGAGGTCTCAATTCAGTGTAATTTTTAACCATCGTCGAGAACGTTGGTAGGTTTACCACATGAAAACTTTATTGTAAGTAGATAGAGTATACAATGTGATTCTACGCACGAAACTTGCAGTGTTTGTTAAACGGGTGCCTGGAGTATGTTATCAAAGTCAGCATCACCATCAGCATTAGCACCACAATTACGATATACAGGAAGGATATCGGTAGCTATTTAAAAAGGATACCATTGTGCTTTTATTCTATTGTCGGACAAGATTCAGACGCAAAAACGGATTCTGGCCAATTCGAAGCGACAGGTGTTTCCACGTGATTTATTCAGACTGCTATACGGCTAGTGATGAATGGTGAGAAAGCTATTGTCAAATGCTCACAAAAGACAGTATGGGTCTATAGTTTATTATCGGTGGCACGGAATGCTATGGTGCCCTATCTTGCTCACCGAACTGCTTCAGTGACAAACTTTAGAGTTGAACGCGTAGAATACATATTTACATGGATTGTTTTCCAACTTGAAGAGGTTTCATCCTTTTACGATTCTTTTGTTTCCCATAGGTTACTCCGTTTTTGGACACACATCGTTTTCATGTATGCAAATGTGTTTGCTGGAGATCTTCCCCCAAATATGCTTCAGCAATGAAGAACAAGAGGAACCTAGCCCTCTTCATTTTGATATTGAAATACCAAGCAAAATGTACGCTTCTATCTTATTTAAGATGCGAGTTCTATTGATGAAAGTCTCAGACCATTGTTATCCGTGAAATGCGTCCACCGAAAAAGTCAATACAGACGCTGAATTCGCTTGTTCCAACCAGATGTTGACCTATTTTGAGAGCGTTTGTGACCGAGCCTTACGGGACCCCGTCTTCACCGAAAATTTGACACATTTGCCTGATTTTCTTAGCTAATTAAGTATAGTAAGTAGTGTAAAATTATTCAACGTGCTATTTCAATGTTGGTGCTTTGTTTCGAAACGGGAAATTATTTCGACGAATATACTCAGCTGCATATCAGTTCGGTCTGTAAGAGAGGATCAGTTAGATCACTCGCTTATTGTATTTTTCAGCTGAATGTGCCGCACGAAGGCCGCTCCATGTTTCAGTTGATACGACATGTGAGGTATCGCAGTATATTTTCATGAGGGAAACTACTCGCAAGGTTGGTGAAATCACCTGACCCATGACCGGTTTCACCCTTCTTGGGGCTCACCGGGTAGGCGCAGTCCCCAATTTTTCGTCAACCTTATGTTCTACGCGAACCCAAATTGGATTGATTTCGACTATTACACTCATCTGCAAATTAACTTGTTTTGCTCAGGGGACGCAACTGAATCCCTCATATATGAAGGACGAAAACGGTCATGCGTTGTCGAATTGTTCTGAGCAACCTTGTGAGTAGTCTTCTTCATGAAAGAGGGAAGTATTCTTACATCAATGATGAGCGACACACGTAATCACTAAATTATTGCAAAGCAGTGAGTGAATATTCACACCATGAGACATTTTCTAACCTTCTGACTGCTGCAAATGCAGCAATGTGAACTATATTGCAGTCCGTAACACGAAAAACTAAAAAACCCTACAAACTGAAAGTAATACTCGGGAAGCAAACCTTGAATACAAAGTTCTTTGAGACTGGAATCAGAATTATATTAAAGAAATAAAAAAACAGTGGAGAACATACTTAAGTGAGTTAGCAGCTTAAAAAGCGGCCGAAGTGAAGTGGAGAAGGCATAGCAAAAACTTATTCCAAGAATAGTGCTGTATATGTATAAGTCCTGCGTGTGTCATTTGGGATTCGACATCACACCAACTAATTCTGAAGAGACAAATCTCCCAGATTATCACAGTCAGTTGCTGCAGCGGAACGGGTGATTTGTACACTGTCATTCAAACGCTTCTCGTGTTCATATTTATGGAATGTGCAAGCTCACATTCACACCCATGAAATGGCAAATACCGATTTGGCCAACATTGATTCTAAATGTTACGCGACACACTGATGTTCGCTTCAGGGGAGATGTTTTACTATTTGTTTGATCTCGGCGCGCAGAGCTAAACAGAACAAGAACAATATTACCTGGAAGTCTGAAAAAAACAAAGATGCATGAATATTTGATCAGATTTTATTGATTTTCTGGTGAAGCAGTAAATGTAAATCAACTGATTTCTACGATTAGTGACCGGCTATTTTATTCGCAGGATGTCTCCAGCCTAGTTTTTACTTACCGTCGAAAGTCTAAGGCACACATCCTGCAATTTTAAAAGATTTAGACCTATCAAATGCACACTGAAAGGGAGAAGAATGGTCATTTTGGGTGGATCAAAGGTTTTTTTGTAGCAGAATTAGACTGAACTCATTCGGATCGGTGAAAAACGGTGGCTGTTTGAGGAGGGGACGCAGAGTAATCACAGTTCAGTAATGTTCCTCAAGACTAAGATTACCGAGTTTTCAGTTTCTCGGTACTTCGATAGTTTACACTAGCAGAATTTTGCACTAATCTTTTGTGACCAGAATTCTGATAGGGTCATCTTGGTTGTTACAATCTTTTGTAAAACGGCCACAATATGACGCCTTCCAGTCAACTGCTTGAATGATACTTAAAAGTGGCACTAATTTCTCTGTCAAAGTGTAGATAGAAGTAATGCGGGAGAGTGAAAAGTGATTTTTTTCATATGGAAATCAGTCGACCACAAGAAACGTGAACTTCTGAGCTATAAATACTGCTAGGGCATCATCTTTGAGTTATTAGGTTTACGTTTTTACACAGGAAGTGTGGAGAACCCGAGATGATGCCTTCCAAATATACCGCGATTCTGTTTGAGTGAGAAAATAGTAGACACACAGTTATATCCCAAATGAATTCGGAAGTGTGGGTGGCAAATTTGTTTCACGTAGCTTCACAAAATTACGCGATAAAGCCAGAAACAACGAGGCACTGGAGAGGCTTAATGGATAAACCCGAATTTACAGTATCAATCAGAGGTAACTTATGGCTTCCACTATTGTGTATACTCATCAAATGCGTGCAAAAACTTGACGAGCTCATTTAGTCCCTCACGGGCAGCGAGAATTACAGGGTAAATCTAAAGATACTTTGTTAACAGGGATGTGATTCTAACGTCAAGAAGGACACCGATACCTACGAGTATATGGCTGTTTCCATGTTGTGGCGCACTCTATTACAAAGTTTCACGTCAAATCTGGTGCAGCTGGCCGTGCTATTCTTGGCAGACTAGGGCGTACTTATTGAAAGCTTTTGGAGGCGAACGCTTTGGAATACGCTCCTACACTCAAGACAATGATGGTGGACGCATACGGCTCACCTAAGCAGGTCTGAACAATAATGATAATTATAGAATACCCAAGGAATAGTTTTCGTCCTCCCTTTATCCTGTTACTTCAAACGATCAGGTAAATAATAACCCAGTGTGACAATACGAGCTACACACGGATAGCTTTGTTCGTCATAATCTTTGGTATTCCGTTGGAATCCCATGATAAAAGCAACTTGAAAGCCCCATTGAAGACGAATCCTCGGTGCTCATCAAGTATTCTCGAGTGAATACCCGAAACACATTAACCAAATTATTTAATTCCATCAGAGTTATGTGACCGGGAGATTACCAGTAATTTGAGTACACAATTCGGGTGAACAGATAGACCAGGTTTTTAAGTCGACAATCACTAGGTCGTTGGTTCCAGTACTATCCAGAGGCACCTTTTGTGTTCTTAGGCTTTGTATGTTTACTCTGCGATTCAAGACGATTGAGGACATGGAGACGAAGCTTCCGTATGCCGGATTACACCCTCCAGGTAGCGTACTCGTTTGCTTGCTCTCTTACCGAAGAAACACTAATTTTACAGGTAAAAAGAGGATGATTCTCTGATGTTTGCTCAGGGGAGGTGTATCCGTTTATCCGTAGGTGTTAAACGAACGCCATTTTGCTGTTACACACTGTCAGCTACAAAAAGGAAAATTCGTAAATAATTCGAATTGTGCCCCTGGAGTGAGTGACACCCGAATTAGTTAGGGTCGGAAATTCTATTGAAAAAAATGTTGCTTTTAATTGGAAGGAGATTCCTCTCCATTGATCGCACACACAATTCTTCATCTCTGGTCCAGCTGTCTATTGTGTTACCTTTTGAAAACGGAAAAGAAGACTGAGTGACACATTGTTCAGGATACGATATATCATAAACAGCTTCCTTCATTGGCACTTGATGGATTTATCGCCTGTCAGCTTTGCATTGCGATTACGCTGGAAAACGATTCATTTCTTTAGTCAATCCGCTTGTCTTCCGTTAATCCGTCAGTTCGTTGGAGAGATGAACTTGGTGGGCAAGCACACAAGCGTACAAATCGTAATGAGGTAGGCCTTTTATTCACTACTTCCGTACAGACCAGAGATGGACAAAAGTGACACACCTGTGGGGACAAACGTATCAGCGGAAGGGTGGAGCTCAACCCTCTGATATCTTCTGTTGGCCTGGCAGACAGGTTTGAGACGTGAGCCAGGAGTGAGCAACAGGAGGACGGTAACTAAGGGATACGGAATACTGTTGTCTTGGAATTCTTTGTTATCAATAATTCAGTGCATGCTACAGCCACGGGTTGGTTTCAGCGGTTATACTGATGTTATTAACTTATGGGAAACTGACTGAAAGTTCATACGAGGGGTAAATCGATGTTGGCCATGCGTGGTTTACTTGACTAGTTCACACTTTCGCATAGACACCAGGGTGTTTTTCAAAGTAAAGTCAATGTCAAGTCAAGTATTTTTCGGATGTGACTGAGGGGCCTACTGGAGGAATAAACGCTGTCAATAGGTTCTATTAGATGGGAGACTCGTTGCAGGACATCCCGGTTTCAAGTAAATGGAACACTCACTTTATACTGTTGTTAAGACAAAGTGGCTTTCAGTCTTTTCCGACCGCGGCTCCCTCAGAGCATCTTGTGTGTTAATTTGTCTTTCTCATATTTCGTGTCTTTTTTAAGCAGTACAAACACGAAGCTCGGGACAAACAAACTACATATTATGATTTAAAGTCCTACAGAGTAAGGCACTTGAGACAAGTTCCAAAACGTACGGGTCATCCTCCTAATTCACTTCCTTGCATCACTCACTGTTGTCCCGGTGGGCTTCACCACCACCACCTGAGTTCGCCATAGCGCAGTAGGTGGCTTCGCGGAGCGGATCAGCCAAAAGTACAACGAAAGCAGCCGAAGAACGAGGCTGCGATTCACTGGGTTTGTTTACATCTTACCAGCTGGGGGCTATTCCTCAATTGGGGGCTTGATTATCAGGTCAACGCAGAAGCAATAGAAGGCCGATTGATCAGACAGCTCGTACCTTGTGAGAAAGTTAAACTGTCTGACGGGCCACCACGTTCCTCTCATGCTCATGCGTACGGTTGAAATGGACGCTGGTAGCGCGATTGCGAAAAGAACATGCACCACAGGGAAGGTGTGAGCAACTTGAGTCTACTTGAGCCTGTGTTGGAGTTGTATCTATCGTGGTACAGGTGCGCGAGACTGGTGGTTTATCTAGTGGCTATCTTGGAGCTTGGCAACTGGCTTGAACGTCGGGGAACCATCTTCAGTTCTCACTAGTGGTCTCGTCGGTAGGGGTGGTCGCAAAATTTTCCGTAGCTTAAATTTCACTGCGAAGTCATAATGGTGATAAACCAGTTACTTTAGCTTGATTTTGTATCACTTCTGCTCATCATGCATCATTCTGACCTAAAAACCCATGGAAAGTGGGTTTAGGCGTTCCTCTTTTTTTAGCGGCCACTAATAATAGGACAGCAATCTCTAAGCCTATAGCAGTCGGCGACCTAGAGCATGAAGCGTGAAAGCATCAAAGAACAAATCTTGGGCAAACCCCATGTATTAACAAATGATCGTTTATTGAACAAACGTCCATCAACGGATACTGTTCACTTATTGGTAGGAAATGATATTTAGGTATTTTATGCCGAATCATGGAACGCGTACTTTAACCAATATTACCAACTATCAGCGCCTGGTGTTTTTGTTTAGTTTTGTAGCCTTAACTTTAGAATATATTGAGTAGCTTAAGACGCCTAGATGACAAAACGGAATTCACACCTTGCAACTTGCAAGCTTGGGTAACACCCACGGACAAGATCAGTCTCATTGAGACAGGACA